TTGGTTGGGGTTTTTGTGTGTTCTTTCAGTTAGTGAGCTTGTAAAACGTAATAAAATTGAAGTAATGGTGCAAAGAGTTGACTGGTCACCCGGAAAGCGATGTAAAATAGTATTATTAAGTGAACAAGGCTACAGCTATAAAGAAATTAGAAGAAAAATGGGTGGAGACTTAACCAAAGGTGGCATTTCTACTGTACACTTTTCCCAAAAAGGTTTCCACAATTTTGGCTACTGTATGTATATACCTACCCTCTTACATAAATATACATATAAATATTAATCATTGTCCATCCTGAATACATAGCAGAAAGAGGAAGCTTGAGAGTTCACAAGGCTGATACAGGATGGAATGAAGCTCTGACTGAATCTGGATGTTCTGCTTCAGATGCCACGAAGCCCCCTCCTCCCGGAAGGGAACAAGGAAAACAGGTTGTGAAGAGGATGTGTAGTGTCTCAGACAATACTGTGGACCCTGCTCAAGCAACGCTTATATGCTATGTCCTGGAGTGAACTGCCAATGATCTTTTCTGCCATCCTCACCACTCTCTGCACTGCTTTCCTGTCTGAAGCAGTGATGCTTCCAAACCAAACTCTAAATGAAATAGCAATAGCACTTAGCAGTGTTTCTCAACCTTGACCATTTTAAGGCATGTGGACTTCAACTCCCAGAATTCCACAGCCAGCATTGCCTTAAATTCCACATGCCTTAAAATGGTCAAGGTTGAGAAACACTGACTTAGACTTATATGCTGCTTCACCGTGCTTTACAGCCCTCTCTAAGCGGTTACAGAGTCAGCATATTGCTCTCAACAACCTGGGTCTTCATTTTACCGACCTCGGAAGGATGGAAGGCTGAGTCAACTTTGAGCAGGTGAGGATTAAATTCTTGGCAGTAAACTGAATTATCCTGCAATCCTGCATTCTAACCACTGCACCACCCGGGCTCCAGCCTTAACATAATTATTTTGAAATCACATAAAAATCTAGGCCAGTGGTTCTCAACCTGTGGGTCGGGACCCCATTTGGAGTCGAACGACCATTTCACACGGGTCGCCAAACAACGCAGTCCACCATTTTTTCCCCCTTTTCCTTAGCTGTGCTACTCCCTTTTATTCTACTGGCTTTTGAAAGCCAATAGAATAGACTCTCTTGAATAGAGTCTAATTCTATTGGCTTTCAAAAGCCAATAGGAATTGTCCAGGCTGTCTCTGCCCTGTTGAGCCCACCAAAAGTCCCATTCTGCAAATGATGCTGCACCAGTTGAGTAGTCCTCGACTTATGACCAGTTGAGTAGTCCTCGACTTATGACCGGTTGGGGGGTCACAGCATTAAAAAGATTGAGAACCACTGATCTAGGTAATTCGATACTAGACTGAAGCATTCTATACCTAAAGATGAAGCAGGCAGGAAGGAAGATGATCAAAAGCTAGGAATCTTGCCTAGATCCCTTCAGGAGATAGATCAGAGAGAGATATAAAAAGGAACCAAGTTGTTAAGAAAACAAAGGGAAAAAGGTCACCTGAATCAGACAAAAGAAGTTGGGCCCCAGCACATGGAAAACCCCTCCCTCTCTCCCTCCCCCAAATCCTAGCAACAGCTACCAGGCTTGTAAATCAGTAGCTGCCAGTCTTGTCAATCAACAGAGCAAAGCAAGGACTTTTTTTGGGGGGGGATAAAAGGAATCCTGAAACCCGCCCACTCAGGTCTCTTCTTTGGATCCAAACTTGGCAGCTTCGTCCCTCTGGCTACTGCCTGCCAGCCTGGGTGGGAGCGTTGTGTTTCACAATGTTCAGTTGAAAGTCATTTGTCTGTGACTGTTGAGCACCATTAGTGTGGTTCAGGGGTCTTCAAACTCGGCCCTTTTTCGACTCATGGACTTCAACTCCCAGAATTCCTCAGCCAGCATGTGGTTTGGTGTGGTTTGTAACTGTTACAGATTAGAGGTGAGGAACTATGGCCCTTTTATGACTTGTGGACCTCAACTCCCAGAATGGCTCAGCATGGCTGGCTCAGGAATTCTGGGAGTTGAAGTCTATAAATCATAAAAGGGCCATAGTTCCCCAGTCCTGGTTTAGATGATGGAGCAAGGGAAGGGGCCTCTTTGACCAACTGTTACCAGCAAAGCCTTTGATTAGTATTTCTATTTATTTGAAGTAGGCAAGCAAGAAATTGGCCAGAGATGAGAACTGCCCAGAAAGTCAAACTATAACAGTGGTTCTCAACCTGTGGGTCGGGACCCCAGTTGGGGTCGAACGACCATTTCACGGGGGTCACCAAACAACGCAGTCCACCATTTTTTTCCCCCTTTTCCTTAGCTGTGCTATTCCCTTTTATTCTATTGGCTTTTGAAAGCCAATAGAATAGACTCTCTTGAATAGAGTCTAATTCTAGTGGCTTTCAAAAGCCAATAGGAATTGTCCAGGCTGTCTCTGCCCTGCTGAGCCCGCCAAAAGTCCCATTCTGCAAACGGTGCTGCACCAGTTGAGTATTCCTTGGCTTACGACCGGTTGGGGGTCGCGGCATTAAAAAGGTTGAGAACCACTGAACTATAATGATCTGAAAACTTGTTATGAGAAACGCACCTCTTGATTTTTTATTAGTTAAGAAGATCTAAGATTGTGGGATAATATGAACTATTACAGATTACAAGTATAGCTACTGAGCATGCTCTCTAGATCAGTGATGGCAAACCTTTTAGAGAGCGAGCGCCCAAACTGCAACCCAAAACCCACTTATTTATCGCCCGGTGCCAGGTGGGTGGGGCCCACTGGGTGGGCGGGGCTGTGGTCATGGCAGACTGGCTGGGTGTGGCCAAGGTAGGTGTAGTCAACTCGATGTTGCTTGTGGGGAGGAACACCTGTGGGGGCCAGGCAGGGTTGGGAGTGATCCAGGGGGTCTCTGCTAGGTGGGGTGGTGGGCAGGAGGCTCGTCCTGCGGAGTGAGGTGAGGTGAGGCAGGGCAGGGTGCCATTGTCGCAGGGCAAGGTGAGGCAGGGGCTGGGGCAACTGCTGCCTGACACCATCGGCCCCTGCACACAGTGAGCACATGGGGACTGACAGTGTCCGTCAGTAGCCACAGCCTGCCGGCCCCTTGACTGGCGCACTCTGGGGCTGTGCAGCCCGCTGCCAGCAGTTCAGAGAAGCCGCCTCTGAGCTGGAGGGCCGGCCGACAGCTGAGGAGGCGATGCAGTGGGTCGTGCCCAGGAAAAGGAGGGCATGCGAGGCCAGGAGGGATGGGAGGGGGGGAGGGAAACCAGCCATGCTGGGATGCATCCAGCCACGTGGGACCTCCGCGAGTTAGGCGGCTGGTTGAAGAGACGGTTGCCATCTCTAGGGCATGGTGCGCGTGCCCACAGACAGGGCTCTGAGTGCCGCCTCTGGCACGCGTGCCATAGGTTTGCCACCACTGCTCTAGATGCGTTAGGACTCAAATTATGCTACCCAATGAGAGAACACATTCCAAACCCAAATGTTTGAACTGCATATGAAGTGAAGTCACTTTGTAATTTGGGGAGACCTATTCCTTTAGTTATGTGTAAATAAAGAGATTGTTCCTGTCTTAACCTATCCTTTTTGTTTTCATTCCAGCCTTAATGTAATTATTTTGCAATCACATACAATTCGTATCCATCATAAAAATACACAAAGGCTCTATTTTTGTCTCAATCCTAATGCCATTTCCCCCTCCCAAAACGGACAGTCCTATTTGGCCTTCCAGTTGCATATTTTCTTTTTAATGTGTTTTCTTTTGGGCTTCTTTTTTCTGCCTGCCGTGTGTTTTCTTATGCCTCCGAAGAGACGAACCCCAACCGAAAGTTTTTCCGCACTCAAAGCACTTATGAGGTTTTAGTCCTGTGTGAATCTCCTCATGAGTCCGAAGGTCACAACTACGAACGAAGTCCTTCCCACATTCCCTGCAGGTGTGAGGCTTCTCTCCTGTGTGAACTCTCTCGTGGACTTTAAGATAGTCTTTGTAAGCAAAAGATTTCCCACACTCCAGGCATTTATAAGGTTTTTCTCTGGTGTGAATTCTCTGATGCCTCAAAAGGCTGTCATTCCTGGAAAAACACTTACCGCACTCCAAACATTTCAGGGACGTCACTCCGACGTGCTTTATGCGGTTGTGTTTTCTAAGGGTCGACAAATAAGCAAACGCTGCCCCACAGTCTAAACATTTGTAATCTTTTGCCCCTTTGTGAACCTGCCCGTGGCGTTTGAGGCCTCCTCTTGTATAAAAAAACATTTCACACTCGATGCACCGAAAGGGCTTCTCCCCCGAGTGAATCTTCTGATGTTCAAAGAGGCCTCCCTTTTGAACAAAGGAGTTTCCACACTCCCCACATTTGTAGGGCTTCTCTCCTGTGTGGCTGCTCTGATGAATCCCAGTCTGTGTCCGTGAGAGACACCGTTTCCCACCCTCCTCACATTCCTCTCCTTTGTGCGTCATTTTGTGTTTTACAAGATCATGAGAATACGTAAATTGCTTCGCACATTCTGGGCATTCGTAGGGTTTCTCCCCAGAGTGAATTCTCCGATGTCGCACCAGGCTTAATTTCCAAGTGAAAAACTTCCCACATTCTGGACACTCTCCCCTTCCCGGAGCAGTGTGCTGACTCTCATGTTTCCGAAGAGAGGAAATTTCAGGGAAGGTTCTTTGACACGCAAAGCATCGGTAAGACTTTATTTCTGGGTGATCCTTCTCATGGAGCCAAAGCTGTGACTTCTGAGGGAGGCCCTTCCCGCCTGGCCCGAACTTGTAAGATTTCTCTCCTGGGTGGATTTCCTGATGTTGAAGCAGCTCTGAGCTCTGAGACAAGCCCAGTCTTTTCCGCCCATTCTGGCATTCCCGAAGTCTCTTTCCCTGGTGGATCCGCTGATGGGCTCCAAGATCCGAGCCTTTAGCAAAACGCTTCCCGCACTCTCCACATTTGTAAGGCCTCAGTCCAGGATGGCTCCTGAGATGCTGGGCAAAGGCCCACGCTTCAGGAAAGGATTTCCCACATGCCGAACACAGATGGGATCTGTTCCCCGTGTGCAGCTTCCGGTGGATCAAAAGGAGGGACCGGTAAGCAAAGGGTTTCCCACACTCAGAGCACGTGGAGAGTCTCTCCCGGGTCCTCTGAGGGGGATTTGGCTCCAAGGGTTTTCCCCGTTGCATCGTTTCTGGAGGCTGTTCACTTGAAGGGCCCTGCAGGCCAAGATTTGGCAAGAGGCTTTTTCCAGGCAGCTCCAGCTGAACGAAGGAAAAAGAAGTGAAGATAAGAGGAAGATTCTTTCTCTTTATTTATTTATTTATTTATTTATTTATTTATTTATGAGACTTATATACCGCTTTAAGTGCAAGCACTCTCTAAGCGGTGTACACCAGTACGCAATGTATATATATTTTACATTGCCCCCAACAATCTGGGTCCTCATTTTACCTACCTCGGAAGGATGGAAGGCTGAGTCAACCTTGAGCCGGTGAGATTTGAACCGCTGACCTGCTGAACACAGTCAGCTAAAGTGACCTGCAGTACTGCACTCTAACTGCTGTACCACCTCGGCTCTTTATGACCCCAAAACAGCCCAAACAATACAGAGGTAGGCCACCTCGGCTCTTTTATGACGCGTGGACTTCAACTCCCAGAATTCCTGAGCCAGCCATGCTGAGGGGAAAGGGAGAGGTTTCCAAGCTGAGCCAGGCTGGCTCAGGAATTCTGGGAGTTGAAGTCCACGAGTCATAAAAGTGCCTAGGCTGCCTACCTCTGAGCTAGGAGATCCCTTATATGAGCCCCGAGGGGATCCCCAAAGCCTCAATTCCCCCCCACCTCAATCAAATCATTGCTGGGATCTTCCTTATGGAGCTGACCCAAGCTCTCCCCTTCCCCGTTTTTAGCAAGAGGGGAGGGATTGCCTTCCAGTGTCTCTGTTGCTCCCCATTTGCCTGCCGGAAGAGGGATGGCTTCCGCCTTTCTTTTGCTCGGTTGGGACGTGTGTGTGTGTGTGTGTGTGTGTGTGTGTGTGTGTGTGTGTGTGTGTGTTACAGATGACATGTCAGATCAACTGTAATGACCCCCATGAGACTTGCGTGGGTCAGGTGGGTCCATACATGTGAACAATACGTCCTGTGTACGTATTCGTGGGCGTTGTTCTTTGGGCCATCACAGATTAACCTGGCCTCACTCCTAAAATGGCTTCCTGTGGTTCCTTTATGGCAGTGGTTCTCAACCTGTGGGTCGGGACCCTATTTGGGGCCGAACGACCATTTCACGGGGGTCGCCAAACAACGCAGTCCGCCATTTTTTCCCCCTTTTCCTTAGCTGTGCTCCTCCCTTTTATTCTATTGGCTTTTGAAAGCCAATAGAATAGACTCTCTTGAATACAGTCTAATTCTATTGGCTTTCAAAAGCTAATAGGAATTGTCCAGGCTGTCTCTGCCCTGCTGAGCCCGCCAAAAGTCCCATTCTGCAAACGGTGCTGCACCAGTTGAGTAGTCCTCGACTTACGACCGATTGAGTAGTCCTCGACTTACAACCGGTTGGGGGTCGCGGCATTAAAAAGGTTGAGAACCACTGCTTTATGGTTTAGTGCAGGGGCTTAAATGGACTTCAGAAGATGGTAGAGGACAGGAAAGCCTGGAGGAAAGTTGTCCTTGGGGTCACAATGGGTCGGACACGACTTCGCAACTAACAACAACAAGGCAACCTTGGCTCTTTTATGACTGGTGGACTTCAACTCCCAGAATTCCTGAGCCAGCCACGCTGAGGGGAAAGGGAGAGGTTTCCAAGCTGAGCCAAGCTGGCTCAGGAATTCTGGGAGTTGAAGTCCACCAGTCATAAAAGAGCCAAAGTTGCTACCCCTGCTTTAGTGAGAGTGGTACAGGGAGTCCTTGATTTACAACCATTTGTTTAGCGTCCGAAGTTCTGATGGCAGTGAGAAAGGTGACTTATGACCACTTTTCACACTTTTTGACCCCCATAGCCACATGGTCAAAATTCAGATACTTGGTAATTTAGCACATCTTTATGACAGTTGCAGCATTTCGGGGTCCCATGATCGCCTTTTGCGACCTTCCCAGCCGGCTTCTGTCAAGCAAAACCAACGAAGCGAGGCTTAACGGCTGCATGATTCATTTAGCGACGGCAGTGATTTGCTTCACAACTGTGGCAAAAGTCATCAAACGAGGCACCACTCAAACAACTCCCTCTCCCATTTAGCAGTGTTGATTTGGGGTTCTGTTGTGGTCATAACTCAAGGATTACCTGTATCTCTGTTCATGAAGGACTCCAAAGCTTTATGTTGTCCACCCCCCACCCCCCTGATGGTCCTACTTGCCCCGGTCAGACGTTGGGCTCTGTCCTTATCCAGTTCCTTTTGGCTTAATGTATTATATCTACCCAGCGACTGGAATTACTCCACCAGGAATGGAAGCTGCCCAAATCATGGTTAAACTAATCATGGTTTAGCTGAGGGAGCTGTAACTTTTGGGATGAAGACTGATCCCGGCCTTGGAGGAGAAACCCAATTTTACATCACGGCCTTCAGGTTTTAGCAAATAAGAAACTAACATGGTTTTTCTGCATTCTTCTATTTCAGTGTTTCCCAAACTTGACAATTTTAAGGCATGAGGACTTCAACTCCCAGAATTCCACAGCCAGCAACGCTGGCTGTGGAATTCTGGGAGTTGAAATCCACATGCCTTAAAATTGTCAAGTTTGGGAAATACTGTTCTATTTCATCATTTCCCCTTCATTCGGTGCTACAGTTTGAGGTCCCTCCGCTCCCTCTTTCTCCATTCTCTCATTTACAGGCTAGTTCCCCTTTTCCTGCATTTCTTTCTCAATCTTCTTCTACCGTTTCCTATCTTGTCTTTTGTGAAACACCCGTCAGTCGTCAACAAGGGGCCTCTTCAGGGCCAAACAATGAAGCTATCGATTTACAGAAATTCCGGTCCAGTTTTTATCAAACAAAAACAAGCAAAATATTAAGAATTAAAAACCTACTACCGCCTACTACCTCATAGTTCCCTACGTCCGGTTAGATCCCACAGGCTGGGCCTCCTTCGGGCCCCTTCGACCAAGCAGTGCCATTTGGCGGGGCCGCAGAGGAGGGCCTTCTCTGTGATGGCGCCCACGCTTTGGAATCAGCTCCCCCCCCCCCCGAGATTAGGACCGCTCCCACCCTGTTGGTCTTCTGTAAGCTACTTAAGACCTGGCTTTTCCGCCAGGCCCGGGGTTTATAAAACCTTACCCCTGGATGATTGTTTTTGTATTGTTGTTTGTTATGTTTTATGTGTTTTTTATTGTTAGCCGCCCAGAGTCCTTTGGGAGTGGGGCGGCTTATAAATTTTAAAAATAAAAATAAATAAAAAATAAACCAAGGAATATTCATTCCTCTCCTTCAGGGGTTAAGCCCAAAGAGGATCTCCTCTGGGTTGGGAGAAGCTGAGCAATTTGCTTTTGGGAACGAATAAATAAATAAATATCCTTTTTTGCAGGATCCAATCCGGGTGGGTCAATTTTGTCTTCCCAACTTTCAGACTGGAGCCAATCTTCAGGGAACTTCTCTCCAGCAGGATGGGTGGGTGGGTGGGTGTGTGTGTGTGCGCACACGTGTGTTGCTGTTCTCTTGTGTGGTCTTTATAGCGCCTGTTGTCAGTGGCTTTTTAGGATGTGGATTGGGGGGTTGTAGGATGGCTGGCTTTTAAGTCGTTAGGACCCTTTACTCACAGCGCATCTAAATTTCATTCTTTTTTTTTCTTTTTCTTTTTTTTGTGTGGTCCTTGCAACAAGCCCGGCTGGAACCCTTTCCGTCTTCGATTGAAAAGCAAAAGCCAACACTTCCTTCCATTTGCATTTCAATTCTCTCTAAATAGGTTTTAAACTGCATTTCAGCCCATTTTTGCAAAGTGCACTTGAAGGCCGGAGGGGTGGGGGTGGGGGAAAGGATCCCTACCTGGCAGAATCGGGGCCGAGGAAGCAGCCTCTTGCGAAGAAGGATCCAGCGCCGAAGCAGGCGAGGAGGAACCCGCGGAGGAAAGGCAGCGGAGACAATCCAGGTGACTTCAGCCGCCGAACGGGAGAAAAGAGGGTGGGGCGGGGCTTCGGGAGCGGGGCGGTGGCTCCTCTCGGGCTCCGCCTCCTCCAAGCAGCCACGCCCCTTGACAATTAAATTCCCTCCCGCGCATTGGCCCAGCGGGGGAAGAACCCAAGATTGGCTCCTCCCCCTCCCCGCGAAATGTCTAAGCCAGTGTTTTTCAACCTTGACAATTTTAAGGCATGTGGACTTCAACTCCCAGAATTCCACAGCCAGCAATGCTGGCTGTGGAATTCTGGGAGTTGAAGTCCACATGCCTTAAAATTGTCAAGGTTGAGAAACACTGGTCTAAGCCATGGGTAGGCAACCTCGGCTCTTTTATGACTCATGGACTTCAAACTCCCAGAATTCCCGAGTCAGCGGCACCTAAACCGTGATGTCAACTTGAATCTTAAATCGTAAACCAGGTGTTCTTTTTTTTTTTAAAGAAGTCCCACCTCTCTGCCAGAAATGGACTCAGCCACTTCACAAGCCTCCTCAGTGCTACCCTCTCCCCATCTGCCAACGTTAAGCAAGCCCACCTGCCACAGGTAATCCTGAGCCAGCCTGGCTCAGCTTGGAAACCTCTCCCTTTCCCCTTAGCATGGCTGGCTCAGGAATTCTGGGAGTTGAAGTCCACGAGTCATAAAAGGGACAAGGTGATCTACCCCTGCCCTATATTATTTCAGAGAAGTGACTGTCTAGGACATTGGTTCTCAACCTTTTTAATGCCGTGACCCCCAACCGGTCGTAAGTCAAGGACTACTCAACCGGTCGTAAGTCGAGGACAACTGGTGCAGCACCATTTGCAGAATGGGACTTTTGGCGGGCTCAGCAGAGCAAAGACAGCCTGGACAATTCCTATTGGCTTTTGAAAGCCAATAGAATTAGACTCTATTTAAGAGAGTCTATTCTATTGGCTTTCAAAAGCCAATAGAATAAAAGGGAGTAGCACAGCTAAGGAAAAGGGGAAAAAAATGGCGGACTGCGTTGTTTGGCGACCCCCGTGAAATGGTCGTTCGACCCCAAATGGGGTCCCGACCCACAGGTTGAGAACCACTGCTCTAGGACAAGGGTCTTCAAACTTGGCCCTTCTATGGCTCATGGACTTCAACTCCCAGAATTCCTGAGCCAGCCATGCTGAGGAGAGGCTTCCAAGCTGAGCTATGCTGACTCGGGAATTCTGGGAGTTGAAGTCCATGAGTCATAAAAGAGCCGAGGTTGCCTACGCCTGATCTAAGCCTTAGGTAGGAGCTGTTGTGCTTTCCCCCCCCTTTAGGGCGCTTTCCCTGTGCCCAGCGGGGGGGGGGCTACTTTTTCATGCAAATGAGGCAAGGCGGAAGGAACGTTCCCGTCTGGGTGTTCGGAAATGGGGGGGGGGCAGGATCGCGGACCGGTTTTTCTGGCTTCGGCCCCTGGTTGAGATTGGTCGACCAGCGCAGGCGGGGTTTGAAGACGGACTCTTTCGCCCTTGGGGGGGGGGGGAAGGATTCGACCCCCGCCCCCCCCGTCGGGTCTCGTGCAAGAAGAGATTCCCCCCTCTCTCCCTGCAAGGAGAAAGGTAGCTCTGAATTGTCCATTTCTCCTTGAAAGTTCTTTTGCTGGATCGTTTGCAAAGACGCGGCTTTCAATGCCTGCTCAATAAACTTCAATAATAAGATATAAGAGGAGGGGGAAGAGGGAGGGGGAAGAAGGAAGGAAGAGGGGAAGAGGAAGGCGAGAATAGGAACGAAGGAGGACGAGAAGAGGGAGGAAGAGAGGAAGAGGAAGGAAGGAGGAGAAGGAAGAGGGAGAAGAGGAAGAGGAGGGAAGGAGAAGGGGAAGAGGGAGGAAGGAGGAGGGGGAGAGGAAGAGGAAGGAAGAAGAGAGGGAAAAGGGAGGAGAGGAAGGAAGGAAGGAAGGAGAGGAAGAAGGAAGGAGGAGAAGGGGAAAAAGAAGGAATAAGAGGAAGGGAAGAGGAGAAAGGGAAGGGAAAGAAGGAGGAGGGGAGGAAGAAAAAAGGAGGAATAGGATGGAAGGAGGAGCTCAATAACCTCTCCCGGTTCTTCAAAGAATGGCCCTTTTTCTTATCCCTCTTTCAGCAGGAACACAGGCCAAAACCTGCCTATGGGTAGGGAAGCTCAGTGGAAAGATCACATGGGGGGAGGGAAAGCACCTGTGAATAGGAGGGGGGGCAGGATTCTCAGTTCACGTCAATCTACACCTGACCCAGTTTGGTGTGCTGTAGTGGTTAAGGCATCAGTCCAGAAACGGGGGATCCTGAGTTCTAGTCCTGCCTCAGGCACAAAGCCAGCTGGATTGCTTTGGCCTAGCAGTCCCCCCCTCTCTCTCACACACATTCCTCCGAAGAAAGCAAGGGCAAACCATTTCTCTGAGCCAGTGTTTCTCAACCTTGACCATTTTAAGGCATGTGGACTTCAACTCCCAGAATTCCACAGCCAGCATTGCTGGCTGTGGAATTCTGGGAGTTGAAGTCCACATGCCTTAAAATGGTCAAGGTTGAGAAACACTGCGCGGCCTAACCACAAGCACTTGAACAAGGAGTCAGGACTGACTAGGACAGTGGTGGTGAACCTTTTAGAGACCAAGTGCCCAACCGCAACCCAAAACCCACTTACTTATTGCAAAGTGCCAGGGCCGCATCAGCATTATGGTGCCCTCGGGGGGGGGGCAGGGAGGCACCTCTGAGTGCTGCCTCTGGCATGCAAAAACCGGGGGGGGGGCAAAAATGGACCACCATGCTGCAAGGCGCAAAAAAAGGCTGCCGCCGCGACGCAAGATACAGATACAAGGCGCTGCACCACACGAACGGGGCAGGGCTAGTATCACACAGGCACTAGCCCTGCCCCATTTGCAGTATGTGCGTCCTCGTGGCCCCATGTGCGCATGGACACATGTAAAATGCTTCGCCTCCTTTGTGCTGAGGGGGGCTCCTGCTCCGGGCGCCGGTGACAGACTGATGGAACTGCTGCTGGTGGTGGTGCGCGTGCCAACAGAGAGGGTTCTGAGTGCCGCCTCTGGCACGCGTGCCATAGGTTCGCCACCACTGGACTAGGAGGACTTCCAAAGACATTGAGTGCTATCTCAGGGACATGAGGTGTTTCCGCAAGGAACTTGCAATGACCTTGGAGGCCTGTATGGACAATGATGACATAGCCACATATGCTCCCTCAAGACCAGTGGTTCTCAACCTGTGGGTCGGGACCCCATTTGGGGTCAAACGACCATTTCACAGGGGTCGCCAAACAACGCAGTCCGCCATTTTTTCCCCCCTTTTCCTTAGCTGTGCAACTTCCTTTTATTCTGTTGGCTTTTGAAAGCCAATAGAATAGACTCTCTTGAATAGAGTCTAATTCTATTGGCTTTCAAAAGCCAATAGGAATTGTCCAGGCTGTCTCTGCCCTGCTGAGCCCGCCAAAAGTCCCATTCTGCAAATGGTGCTGCACCAGTTGAGTACTCCTCGACTTACGACCGGTTGAGTAGTCCTCAACTTACGACCGGTTGGGGGTCGCGGCATTAAAAAGGTTGAGAACCACTGCTCAAGACTGTCAACAGAAACATTAGCTTCCTGGGTCAACACCGCATGTATGAATCTGGCTGATTTTCAGCCCTTTCAGCTCAGTTAAACTGAAGCCCTTTTAAGCACACACTCAGGTGCAGACAGTTTAGTGTGGGTATGCCACACACTCTGTCTCCAGCCTCCAAAAGATGCTTCAAAGAGAGCTGGGCTGCCGATGTAGCTCCTCCACGCCTGAAAGCAGCCTCAGCATTTTTCAGGTTGGCCACAGTCCTAGAGAAAAAAATGTTGCTCTTTTAGATCTTGTACAAAAAAGGAGCATTTTGCCCTTCTCTGCACTGGGCAGCCTAACGATGAGCATCCATGAAGTATTCCTACATTTTTCCTTTCTTTCGGGGTGTGTGGAGGAAATGGCATTTTAACACGGTCATCTCATTTCAAAGCTCTCTGTTATAGTTTAATGAAGAGAAGGATGAGGGGTGACAGGATAGCAGTGTTCCAATATCTCAGGGGCTGCCCCAAAGAAGAGGGAGTCAAGCTGTTCTCCAAAGCGCCTGAAGGCAGGACAAGAAGCAACGGATGGAAACTGATCAAGGAGAGAAGCAACCTAGAACTGAGGAGAAACTTCCTGACAGTGAGAACAATTAACCAGTGGAACAACCTGCCTCCAGAAGCGGTGAATGCTCCAACACTGGAAGTTTTTAAGAAGAAACTGGACAGCCATTTGTCCAAAATGGTATAGGGCAGGGGTAGGCAACCTTGGCTCTTTTATGACTCATGGACTTCAACTCCCAGAATTCCTGAGTCAGCATAGCTGAGTTGAAGTCCATGAGTCATAAAAGAGCCAAGGTTGCCTACCCCTGGTATAGGATTACCTGCCTGAGGTCCTAGACAGGGTTGTCCTCTATCCCCTTTGTTATTTGTATTAACTATGGAAATCTTACTTATTAAAATTCGAGAATCCTCTAGATTAAAAGGAATAAAAATAAATGAGATTGATTATAGGTTGAAAGCGTTTGCTGATGATTTGGTGGTGACATTATCTTATCCAACAGATTCGGTTAATGAATTGGTTGAAATTTTAGCGCAGTATGGACAGGTCTCTGGTTTCAAGGTGAATAAGAATAAAACTAAAATTTTACTTAAAAATGTGTCTATGAAGGGAAAAGATACTATAGCTGAAGCAACAGGTTATGATGTAGTTAATAAGGTTAAGTATTTAGGAGTATATATCACAACATCTAATGGGAAATTGTAGAAGAATAATTATGAACAATTGTGGATAAAGGTACAAAAATACTTAAATGACTGGCAAAAACTACAATTATCATTGTTGGGGAGAATTTCAGTAGTAAAGATGAATGTTCTACCAAAGTTTCTTTTTTATTTCAGATGTTACCCATTTTGAAAAAGGATGTGAGGTAGATGGAAAAATTGCCATTAAGAGAAATGATAAAGTACTTTTGAATTATATTTTAATTAACAGAGGTGATGTTTTGAAAGCATTAACTAATACTATAAACTGGCTGAGTGTGATGACCTGTGTGCAATTCTATGAAGAAACATTTTT